AGAGTTCAAGTTACTTATTATAAAAGTATGAAATTTTTGGTAGCTTTTTTTCTGCTAATAAAAATAAATCTAATCTGTTCCATAAAATGACGTGTAAAATTACAATTTTTTAAAATTCCAATAACTTATTATTTTTAATAAATAATGTTTTAGAATTGAATGAGGCACGTTCTTCCAAATTTTTATTGGTCTCGTAGCATTTTGACATACCTCCCCAACATCCTTAAATAGTTCTATATATAGGAAAAAAAAAAATTGCCAGTGACACGCACGCTAAACAAGAAAAGAAGTATACACACATTGAATAACAATGAAAATTCTGGAAGTACCGGAAAGTACTGATCGATAAGTCCATGCAAAAATACAATGTTATACAAAATGCATCCACATGCTTATATGAAAACTAAAAATAAACAAATAAACAATAATTGAAAAAGTTAACGATACTTTTAGCGTACATGGTACAAAACCTGACCAAGAATTTTATTTGTATAACTAGTAGCTATTACAATAGCACGTTCGACTATAATAGACCTTCCAGAAGCCACGTTTCTTCGTTCGCAGCAAGCCGTGGTACCATCAACAATGATTACTTTTTAATAGCGTTGATCAAGTGGGTAATCTTTTTTCTATTCGGAGTAAATTGTTGTGTCCCCCTTCCCCTTTTCGACGGTGCGTTCGGTACCAAAACATTCTACTTAAAACTGCAAAGTAGGTAACTCACCTTGTTATTGTTAATCGCATCATCGAACGCGAAACTTCTTTTCGACGGTCACGGCGCACTTATTATTGGTCGGTACGTGTGCACTACATACTGTTATTATTGTTGTTGCATCTGCGGTGACCCCTTGTGGAGTTTTACACAGAAAGAACAATCATTTTTTTTTTAAGTGAAACTAAGAGTGTGTCAATAAGGAAAAGGTAGGATTTACTTTTTTTTATTGTAGGAAGTGACTTACTATTAGTAAGAGTGATGAAGTTTTCAACTGGATTTAACAAAATTCCGACGTTTCGCAATTGGATTGTGGACTTCTTCAAAATAATTATTTGTCACAGAAGTAAAGTTGTGATCAACATCCTTTTTAATACCACAAAGATGTACTCAAAAATATTTTTAACGATTTCCTTGAAAAACCTCACAGTAAAAAAGCGAAACGTCGTATTTCACTTTTTTTTAACTTAAACGTTACTCAAATATAATATTCATGATATCTATTTATTAATTTTTAATAAACTTTATGACTTTGTTTCCATTCTCAGTTATTTTATTGTTTGCCTATCAAATAATATTTTAATTATTTCGTAATTGGAAATTATTTGAAATTTAAATACTTATTCATTACTCAATAAAATTATTTACTTGAGGTTGTTGAAACGCGTTTCGAAGTTTCAAAAAGTTATTGTGGAATGTTGGACTATTAAATAAAATCAAGGAAATAATATTAAATTTATATATTTCTAAAAAAGAAGTTTCCTTTAATATTATTAAATTGATTCTAATAGTTTTGTCATACATTCTCCCGGTTAATGAAGAGGTACCTAAGGTACCTATCAGCCCTACAATTTTTTATCTGACAATAAGTGGTAATAAATCTGATGAATTAAATATTAATTCTAATAAAAAACCTGCTAAATTAATTAGTGTATATTTCTTCAAAAAATTACCACTATCTATATAAAATATAGATATAAATATTTAAAAGTATATTTTAAAACAATTGGTTGCGTTAAAATTGTTTTTGTAGAAGTAGAAGAAGATATAAATGATAAAAAAAAGAAAATATTAAACACTTGTATTTAAGAGAACCTTAAAGTAAAT